ACTTCAAAATTTCTAGGCCGCACTTTCTTATTGTCGTCATGGGCCATTCTTTGTTGGTACAACTGCCCGTTAAGAATAGAAAGGAAAGAAAAGAGAGGAAAATAAGGAATAAGAGATGAGGCAAGGAGAGAAAATTGGGGAAAGTAAGCAAAAATCGGGATTCACACATTGGGGTGTGATGCACCTACACAGTTAAATGTGTTTCTACATGTTTCGCAGCGTTTTGCATGTTTTATCCCGGTTTTTGCTTACTTTCCCTAATTTTCTCTTCTTGCCTCATATCTTATTCCTTATTTTCCTCTCTTTTCTTTCCTTTCTATTCTTTTTCATTTTTCTATTTTTCTTTCTTTTGGTTTTCTCTCAGATTTTTCTTCTTTTATTTAAATTATTTACAGAAATCATGACCAGATCCGATGAGGATTGCCTACGTATCACGACACCGCGCGAATCAGATCATAACATATTTCAAGAGGTAAATGCGAAAAATAAAAGACTCGAAACATACTTTTCTAGGACTTTAAGACTTTAAACAGACTCAGGACATACCTTTTCTAGGAATTTAAAACAAACTCAAAACATGCTCTTTTTTTGTAAAAAAAAAGAAAATATAGACTAGAAAAGAAAAAGAAAATACAATCAAGAAAACATCAGTGCCTCCAACCTTGTCGTAGGAACACCAACTGGTCTTGCAGCGGGCCTACTTGCTATGTCATCTAGGAGCCAAATAGATCATCCATTATCTGATGGACAGAGATCATTACAGTGGCGAAAAATATGGATCTGGTCATGTCCTCACACGCACTGCATTTCATTGCGATGCAGTCCGCAATTCTCCTGACCCTTTCTCTTATGATGCCCTTTTCTTGCAGCAAACGCCCAATTTGTTGGGATCTAGCTTCTAAGACCTGGGTGGCAATGTGATTTTGCTCTTGCAAGTGTTGTATATCCCCTTCTAATCGTGCCATCATGGCATAACAATGTTCCCTCTCAGCCTTAAAATTCTTGGCTTGTTTAGCCATTTCACCTTCGAGGTTTCTAATCTCCTTTTCCCAACCTGTGACCCCTCTTTCATATCTTTCTTTCATCTGTTGAATGAAAGTTGCACGCCCCTCGGCGTTTTTAGCCAACCTCATTCGTGCTTTTGCTAGTTCAGACTCATCTTTCTTCAGGTCATCTTCATAGTCACACACCTTTTGAGTAAGGTTGTAAATGAGCCTTTCATCTTTCTTGGTTCTGCCCGGGTTCTCAGCTGCTATTTTCAGTTGTCGAATCTGGGCTCTAAGAGCTTCATTTTCTCGAATCAATATTCTCCTCTCACCCTCGGCCTCTTGTGCCTGTAAATCATTATTGGAGGTGACATTTCTCAACTCTTCTCGCAAAGCATGAATGGTGGCCTGATATTCCTTTTCCTTTTCCCCCCAGGCTAACCTTTCTTGAATTTTGTCATCAAAGGCTTGACATGGGGCCTTTTGGCGGGCCTCATGGGTTCGGTCTCGGGCTCCGGCTCATTGTTCACATAAAAACTACTTTCAAACCAAGCAGCATAATTGGGATCAACTTCACCCTTAGCCGGGTCTAGTACCTGGGTGTTACTTTTTAGATACCGACAACAATTCCAGTCCCTTTGAACTAAAGCCTCAGGGATCGCTGCTTCCAGGTGTAGTTCAATGACTTGGCTGCTTAGGTCTGCCTCTTCAGGTATCACCTGATATATTCCCAGTTGTCTTAGAACTCTTTGTGGGGCATATGGTTGTATACTTCTTGCTCCCATCATCATCAGGTAGCCTTTTGAAGCGGTCATGTATATGATCTCTGTTATCGGGAGCCATCCTATGGTCCAATAAATTTGATTTGCTCTCAATTTTCTCAAATAGGAAACCCAGGCCTCAAACCCTTTCGGCAGTTTGTAGTCTTCCACCCTTTCCTCATACTTTTTGATGAAATTGTTCCCATATGAAGCATATCTTATGAATTTAGGATGACAGCGAAGGTGTTCGATCATCCACATTTGAAGAAGAATATTGCAGCCTTCGAAAAATTGACCCCCAGATTAGCACAATGTTAATGCCCGGTAAATGTCCGCCAGCACTAATGGGACAAGTGTGTGATCTTTTTTGTCGATGAGGACCTGTGCGATTCTGGCCATACGAAGGTCTATTGTACCCTCAGAATTCGGAAAGATCATGATTCCCAAAAGTGCCACGATAAAGGCAAACCAACGATGAATTTTCCATATGCTCTTGTCTTGTTTGTTAATCAACCCCTTATAAATGTGTTTCGATCCCGGCTGAGTGCCCAAACCTGAAATACAGGAAGTAGAACAAACAACTCCCTTTGCTTGCGCGGTCCTTGCTCATTTGTTTGCTAATTTTCAAAAGATCGAAAAATTTGTGTACTAAGGGGACCCTAGGGAATATTAGTTGCTGCTTTCTTAACTCTTGGCCGAAATCAATATACCCGGCTATTTCTTCCAGAGTGAGTGTGTGCTCAAAATCCGAGAAACGGAACACATTGTGAACGGGATCCCAAAAGGTCACCAAAGCCTTAATTAAATCCTCTTGTAGTTTGATGTGCATGATCTCTACCAGGGAACAAAATTGCTCTTTTACCCAAAGTTGGCCATCTTAATTTAAATCACCCCACCACTTACGTAGCTGCATCCGAGTCCTTTCTATGACAGATTGCGATGTTTCTTGGATGGTATTCATTTGTACCTGTGGAGGGTTAAAGTTAGGGTTGACTCTTGTGGACTTTTTTTGCAAAACAAGTTTTCTAAAAAAAAATCAACGGACAAGGACCCCTTTTATTGCTATGTTAGCAAAATGGTCGTTTTTGCAAACGTGGACCCTTCACAATTCCAAATGAAATTTTAGGCCAGGGGTAAGTATTTTAAAAGAAAAAGACACCTTATAAACAAACTTTCCTATTTCTCCCGAAAATAGCCTTTTGACAATTGGAATGTAATCTAAGGCTATTCCAGTAAGAAACGACCTAAAAATAAACCGAAGCCAGGTCGGCTTTATTGTTTTGACCAAAGCCCTAAAACACCTTTTATTTTATTATTTGGTAAAAATGAGGCCGAATCTTATGTGGGTTGCCTACGTATCCCACATCCGTTGAGAATCAAACCTGCGTAGTTTGGTCAGTTTTGACACAAAAACATGATATTTGACTCACTCTTTTGAAACACATTTTCTCTTTTTTTTTTCAAAAATTCGGCAAAGTTTCGGTATATTTTCAAATACCGGGATTTTAAGAAACCGGGTAAATTCTCTCTCTTACCTCACTCTTGGTTTTTCTCTTTATTTCCTTTCCTAGTCGGTCAACATGCAAGCCGAAACAGGTAAATATTCTTATAGCACGTAGGATGCATCAGGATGGTCTTTATTTTGGATACACCTGTCCTAGACGGACCCAACCCCTGTGTTGAGTCCCCAAGGTCAAATGCACGTGATGCAAATAATCATTCCTACTAGGGATCCGGCATGAGGTTGCGTTATTCTAAGTTTAAAACCTAGGGTTTATGGTCTAGACTTGGGTTACCCGAGCGGACAACTGGGGTCAAGGAGGGGGCAACGTACCGGGAGTACGAAAGTCTGCCCGACTTTGTTGCTTGTCCAGCCCCGTCTTATTTGATATAATTTCTATAGAAAAAGCAGGAACGTGAATGTGTGCAATATTTTCAGAAGACTCAGGTGGGTGGCGTAAGAAGACATTTAAATACAGTTCAAGTAATATCAAAGCGGTAAAATGACAATTAGCACATTAAGTCCACAAAATACAATAATATCAACAATAAAGCCAACTAAAAATCGCATTAACAAGCTCGAATTCTTGAACCCTGAACCGGAAGTTCTAGGTTCTTTTCCCCAACAGAGTCGCCAGAGCTGTCACACTTCCTTTTTACTATCCCGAGGGGTATAAAGGTGCGTTTTCAATTAAAGTGACATAAATCAAGACGGGATTAATTAATTTATCAGAGTCGCCACTTAAGATAGTTTATATGGTGTCCCAAGTCACCGATTTATTTTAAAATCCCAAATCGAGGAAATATTTATTTTTTAAAGTCTGCGAACCAGAAATTCTAGATAAGGAATTCTGTTAACCCTGGAGAAGGTGCTAGGCATTCTCGGGTTCCGTGGTTCTAGCACGGTCGCTTAGTAATTACTACTTGGATTAAATTGTTTAAGTACTCATTTTTAGGACCTATGTGCATTTATCTTTTTACCGCTTTTAAATCATATGAATTATGCGTAATTAAAGAATTGAGTTACATGTACATATACTCTTTTCTTTTGGCGCGTCAAAATGATGTCACGCAAATGTGTCCATGATTAATAACGCTTTTGTTGATTTATTAAGAAAGTTTGATTGAATTTGCGCGAACGCATCCCTCAAGACTTTTTTAGAGTTAAATTTGCAATTATGTTACGCGAACGTATACATAATCACAATGCTTGTCTAAATCGAGCCTAAAACAAACTACGAGTATTTAGATTAATAAGAGGTTTGCGAGGGCCATGAAAAACTTTATTAATGGCGCACCTCTATCTAAAAGAGTTATTACTAATTATACGAGGGCCATGGGCTTAGGAATTTTATTTGGCATGGCACGCCTCAAATTATTTCAAAGGGGATTTCAACATATGCCTACTTGTTTATATTTGTTTTAATTAAAGGGAAGGGGGCACCCAAATCTGTTAATTCATTCCAAGAAAATCCTTAATTGAACAATTAGAAATGATGCAAAATGCCAAAGGTTAAAGTTGGAGCCATTCTTATCAATTCATATCCCAACTCCTGGACGGCCGAATCCATTTTTAAAAGGAAGGCCTTTTGGGCCTTCTTTAGTCACTAGGCCAATTACAAAAACGGATAGACCAATTTCATTTAAACATACTGGATATACTTAACAACTCGAGTACATGGATGGATTAGCCATTGAAATATGAAATCTATTAATTACATGAAAGCTATGACACTAATAAATTGTATAATTCTGCAATTAAAATACTACACTGATTTATTTTCCTTGACTTCAAATATAGTACATTCAAAACAAATTTTAGTAAAACTTCCTTTGGTACAGATTTGTTTTGCATTAGCAATCAATCGCAGGGATGATAGATAAAGAAAATGCAATGCCATCTCTTTCCTACCAATTTTTAAAAGGGAATCAATGCTTGGGCTATGATGAGAAGTGGATTCATAAGCAAAATATTATTTTAGGCTGGGAGTATACTGCACTCAGATTGAACATGCTACCTTGATTCTACTATAAGCACAACATCAAACTACTTAGCATACTTAAACATTCATTAAAGTGAATTAAGATATACCACTAATTATGACAATACGACTTCAAAAAAACTTTTCCTTACTTTTGGTCAACTTAAAAAAAACGATTGCATCACAAGGCAAATCTGCCCTCTTAAAGTTGAACACACTACATGTGCGCACAAATCAGCTTCACAGAAGAAAGAAAACTAAGTCAATCTAAACCAAACAAAATGCCCCAATTCAGTGTTAACAATCCCCTCATAAAATTTTAAAAAACACTTTCCTGGATCTGTTGAGGAAACAAAAGAAGCTAACACTAATACAAACATCAAGAGATCTGATTCTGACCAAGATCATAAAAAAAGCAGAGCCTAAGAAGAAGCAAAAGTAGAAACCAAAAAAAAAACTTCAGCAATTAAACAAACCAACAATAGCCATCAAACAAAGGTAACAGGACAACTAACATATGAACAATTTCCATCAGTTCTTATTCCCAAACAAATCTGCAGGTTCATGTCATTTAATTAAAGAGTCGTACCTGGACAGCAAAAAATGGCAACCAAAATGCCAAATAAAACTCAAGGAAAATGTGAAGAGAGTTCCAGCAACCAAAGGTCCAGCAAATCAACTAGCCATCTCCCAAATGCACCAGAAATTCGGTTGGAAATTCACAGCTCCAAAGCTCCGAACCCCAGTGACAAAACCTGACTTATACTTCAAATCAAAAACATTCTTGAAAATCAGAGATCAAAGAGAAATGCTTAGATTTGAAATTTTTGATTCCTTTCGAAATAAAATAATACTTGAATCGAAAATCAAAACTAAGACTATAACTTTCATATTTTTTTTTGAAAGGATGCAGACTGAAATTTAAAAGAAAAGGCTTGAAGAAATGGAAAACTTCAAGAACCCTAGAATTTTACTCCCTAATTTTCTGAAAATTTCTTTCTCCCTAACAAGAAAAGAACTCATCTTATATATAAACCTCAAAATATCTCGAAGCTTCTGCCTAGAATCCGGAAATCTTCAGATTTTTGAACAATTTCGAGATAAATGGAGGGCATGGATTGATTCACATCTATCCACGGCTCTCATTCGTCCAACTATTGTCCTTTTGACTCCGAAATCGTACAATTTTTAGAGAATATCGTACTCGTATGACAAATCTGTTGAGGATAAGGTGACGTGGAGGGGGGCCAATGAATGAACTCGCTCAAAACTCAAACGAGTTGAGGCGAAGAAGAAGAAGAACAGTAGAGGGGGGTGTCGTCCCTGATTTTCTAGGTTTAGGGTTCAAATGGGGGAAAGAATTATAAAGAGGCTTTTATATTTAAGAAGGAAACGGGTCGAACCGGCGGGTTAGTTCATTTTTGCTGAGTTGAACCCGGTTTAATTGGACTGGGGTAGTAAGGGAGGAGGGTTCTTTGTGCTGAAAGAGTGTGAATTTTAAGGGGAAGAATTTTGGGGAGAAATTGGGGTGTTTAAAATGGCCCAAAACCAAATGAAACTCTTGTCTTTAATTAATTTCTTTTATTCCTTTCTTTTCTCTTTCTTCTTTTTTTTTTTTAGTTAGAAATCCTAAAATTTTAAAAAATCCTAAATTATCTAAAATTGTAAAATCAAGATAATTAACTAATTATAAAATTATAAACATTACTCAAATCTATATTAAAAGTGGAAATCAATGAACTAAAAATTAAAGGCAAAAATGTGAAAATGAACTATTTTTTTATGATTTTCAAATTTTATAAAACAAGTAATTACGGATTAACTTTAAAAAGTGTAAAAATAAATCCTAAATACAGTGCATAATATTTTGGTATTTTTATGATTTGAATAAAAATTAAACAAGTAAGAAAAATGTAAACAATTATTAAAAATCAACAAAATTCCTAAAAATGGCGAATAATCAATTAGAAAGTCTATTTTCTTAGATTTTGTAGGAGTATTTCATGTATGACAAAAATTACGTGCTTACACTATACATAAGTCAACGTTGCCCAAGGCCCTTTAAGGCCTCAGAGAAGATGAGCAAGGCAATGGATGAGCCATTGGAGGCTTGGGGTTGAAGGGTGGTCGCCGAAGAAGACTGGAGAAGGGAGGCGGTTGAAAAGGATTTAGGGTTAGGCTGATAGAAGAGAGGAGATGAGAGCATCTGAAAGCGACAGGCTGTAGAGAATGACTATGGTTAGGGGGTGTTAGGAGTTAAAAAGGAAGGAAATGATACGGGCCGTTGATCTTTCAGATCAATGGCCATGATCTAACGGGTTCTTGGTCGGGCACGTGTGTATAGGGTCTGGTCGGGCAATTGGGTATGAAAGTGGGTTGGGGTTGGGTTCAATTTTGGTTATAATTGAAATCCAAATCTGGCTATAATTTAAATAGCCATTTTCCCTATTTAATTTATAATAATTAATAAAAAATTTCTAGAAAACAATTTTCTATCCCAAAATGATTTAAAATATGCAATTATCACTTTAAAATATATGGGCCAATTTTACACATGTAAAATAATTATACATTAGATGGGCTAATATTGCAATTATATGCAATTTTAGCTTAAAATACTAAATGCAATTATAAAAAATGCATAAAATATATTAATCATATTTTGGCATAAGTATAGAAATTAAATGAATAAATCATCACAACAATAATTTGGGAAATAATTATTGGGGATTTTATGAATAAAAAGGAACGAAATAAATCAATTTAAATCCTTAAAATATGGAAAAATTATAAAAACTTTGTGCATGCTTATATATGCATATATATGTTATTTAAAATGTATTTATACATATAAACATATATAGGAACAAATTGGGTATCAACACATGTTGCCTTGATGTCTGACCTTGATGTTATGTAGACCTACTAGAAGAAGCCTGAATAACTGGTGGACGGTATGAACTCTCCGGTATAGCACTATAATAGGATCCAAAAGAACCCTGGGGACTTGAATATCCACTAGAAGAATCCTGAATAGATAGAGAGCGGTAAGAACTCTATGGTATGGCGTTGAAATAGAGGCGCACTGGAGCAGCTCGAGGAGGTGGTGGTGCTGAATGTGAGGGCCTGCTGGGCTGACCCCTCCCAAACTGACCTCTGTCCCTAGCTGGGGCACCTCTGAACTCTCCATAGAATTGAAACCTCTTGTGCTGCTGCATCTTCTCTCTACCTCTTAGAGGTAGCCCTCAATCATCTAAGCAATCTCCACTACCAGTTGATAAGTAGTACCCATTTCCACCTCTCGGGCCATGTTGGCCCTAATACCAGAATGCAACCCTACAAAAAACCTCTGCACCCTCTGTGCGTCAATAAGAAGTATCATCAGTGCATGGCGAGACAACTTAGAAAACATCGCTTCATAGTCGGTCATTGAGATCTGACCCTACTCAAGCTGCTTAAACTAATACCGCAACTCTTCCCTCTCAGAGGGTGGAATATACCTATCCAGAAAAAGCTGTGTGAACCGACCCCAAGTAATGGAAGGAGAACCCGCTTGCCTTCCAAGAACATAAGACTGCCATCATCTACGGGCCCTGCCCTCCAGCTGGAATGTAGTGAAGTCAACCCCATGAGACTCCAATATCCTCATGTTGTGTAGTGTGTCCCTGCACCTATCAATGAAATCTTAGGCATCCTCATGACGCACACCTCTGAATATAGGAGAGTGTAGCCTAGTCCATCTGTCCAATTACTTCTGTGGTCACCATGCGCAGCCGGTCTGGCTCAGGTACCACTACAACAACTGGCTGAGCCCTATCCGTGGGTAGTGAAACCCGAGTCTAATACACTGCACTTGCATGACCAGGAGGCTGAGTAGTAGGGGTCTGTGCTCCCCCTCGCGCCTGAGATGTGGCTGGGTCTACTGGGAATAAACCAGCCTGAGTCATGGTATCCATGAAACGAAACATACTTCCCATGACCTCCTGGAAACCCTGTGTTGTCATGAAGTCCGCCAGGGTAGGCTCAGCTGCGGGCATCTCGCCCTGCTACTCAATAATAGGATCCCTCGCAGGATCCACTGGTGGTGTAATATGGGCAATTCTAGGATGCCCTCGTGTGATGACCTGGCCAGTCGTCTCTTGAGTTAACGCTCCGTTTTCCCCATTTCTACTTCTTTATGCTTTGTTTATCCTTTTTATGTGATATCAAGTTGGTCGGATTGAATCCGGAAGGAATTTGGTAAGGTTTGAGACACTTAGTCTCTTTCTAGGAAGCTTAAGTTGGAAGTCAACTAGATGTTGACTTATGTGTTAGAGAGCTCGAATGTGAGTTCCGAAGGATCGGTTAGCTTTGAGAAGTGATTTGTGAATTACGGGCGTGATAGGAATGAATTTTGGAGGTTCGTAGTAGATTTAGGCTTGAATTGGCGAAGTTGATATTTTGGCGATTTCTTATTAGTAGGTGAGATTTTTATATAGGGGTCGGAATGGAATTTCGAGAGTTGCAGTAGTTCTGTTTTGTCACTTGGGATGTGCGTGCATAATTTTAGGTCACTCGAATGTGGTTTGGTAGAGTTTCTGATCAAAAGTTGAATTCGAAAGATTTTAGAAAATTTGGCTTGAATCCAATGTGTTTTGGGTGATTTGATATTGTTTGAGGTGATTTAATGATTAGAACAAGTTTGAATAATGTATTAGGAGATTTTTGTGCTTTTGGTTGAGGTCCCGGGGGCCTCGGGGTGATTTCGGATGGTTAACGGGAAGTTTGAAACCTTGTTGCAGCTGCTGAACTCTGCTGCTTCTGGTATTTCGGCACCTGCGGATTGGATACTACAGGTGCAACGCTGCATATGCGGGAGACGAGTCATAGAAGTGGATTTTGACGAGTTGTGAGGAACCGCAGATGCGAGAGAGGGACATCACCTGCGGAGTCGCAAATGCGGGAAAAGTATCGCAGAAGCGGACAGTGCTGAGGGAGTTAGGAACCACAGAAGCGGTGAGATGGACCGCATCTGTGATATCGCAGATGCGGATGAGGGATCACAGAAGCGGAAAATAGTGAGTTAAGTGATTTCCGCAGAAGCAAAGAAATAACCGCAAATGTGGTACCGCAAAAGCGGGTATTGTGCCGTAGATGCGAAAATGAATGGGCAGAAGGTATAAATTGTAGCCTTCGTGAATTTTGAGCTATTTCACCATTCTAATCTCGGCTTGGGAGCTTTTTGGGCGATTTAAACGAGGGATTTTAAGGGAAATTCATTGAGGTAAGGAATTTGGACCTAAAACTCGTTCGTATGCTATTATTTCATGGATTAGAGCTAGAAATCATGAAAACTAAAGGTGAAAATTGGGGAAACTATGGCTTGGAAACTTAGGCTTTTAATTGAGGATTTGAAGGAACATTTAGGAGAAATTTTGATATGTATGAACTCGTGGGGAGATAAGGAATCTATTGATGTAAAAATTATTAAATTCTGAGACGTGGGCCCGGGGGTCGGGTTTTGGTAATTTCAGAATTTGTGTCGTTTATTGATTGTTTTCGCTTGGGCTTGGTTCCCTTAGCATATTTTGACGTCCTCGTTCTGATTTTGGATAGATTCGACGCGAGTGGAGGCTGATTCGAGGGGCAAAGACATCGCGAGCTAGAGATTTAGCGGGTTCGAGGTGAGTAATGATGGTAAATGATGTTCTGAGGGTTTGAAACCCTGGATTGCACATCGTAGTGCTGTATTAAGGTGAGGCACATGCTTGATGATGAGTGTGGGGTCATGAACTACTAGGGATTGTGACTTGGTCCGTCCCAATTGATAATTTTTCCGTGTATTTGACTGAAAACTATTTGCTATCATCATTATTTTGGCTGAATACCATATTTGGGCCTAGTGCCAACTATTCGAACCCTTAGGGGATTTTTATTGATATTTCCTCACTGTTTTGACTTTATACATGAAATCAGTCATGTTATTTTTGCACTAGTTTACTACTCATCCATGTTTACTCAGTTTTAAGACTTAGATGATATTTTAAATGATGTTTGGGCTGAGAAACACTATTTTACTATTGCCCGAGGGGCTTCTGAGGATTTTTGAATGAATAAGGCCGGGGGGCCTATGTTGTGAGGAAACACTATTACCGATATGAGGCTGAGGTCCTGAGATATGTACGCCACGAGGTGGCTTGATTGATATGAGGCTGATGGCCTAGTTTTGAAAACATGAGATGGCTTGTTATTGCGATTGGGCCGTATGGGGCCCCTCCAGTGAGCGCGGGTACCCATTGTGATGTGAGATTGAGCCCAAGGGGCTGGTATTGTTCTATATGATTGCCCGAGGGGCTGGTACTATTTTGAGATGTTGACCGAGG